GTTCTTTTAACAACTACTTCAAGTTGCTGAAAGCCATGGTTAAAATGAACAGAAAGGTAAAAAACCTGCTCTCATCTATATCTCAATCCTTGCTTTTTAATGTCACTCATCTTGCTCTTTTGTGCTCCTCAATTCTTTTTATTTATTATATTATTGTAATTTTTTTTAAACGTCTTACTTTAATTATCTATTTACATATATTATCCTGTCTGTTTTTTAAGTTTGTAATTGTCTGCTGATATGTTCGAGTGTGCTATGGTATAATTCCACCATTGTAGATTTTTTCATTTTTTTGATTGTATACCCATTCCCTAACTTGTTTGTATATTTTGTACTTTTTCAAAAACAAAAATCTTATAGGTGCATTACTGCCACCTAGTGGAGTGGAGACACATCCCACTCATGATCCCACTGCAGCACTGACCAAAAACTGAACCAGAAAAAAAGACTCGGCCTACTACATACAAAAATAAAAAGCTAAAACTAGATAAATTGGATTGGATGTTATGTATTTTAAACTTTAAACATTTGAGATTCAATTCAGGAATTGAATAATATTATTAATTAACTGTACATATTAAGAATATCAGTATATTGGAGTAAATTGAAACACTAAATTTAGGCTGATGTTGTTTTTCAGTAATTCTTCAGATTTGTCATCCACAAACTTAAATGACAGATAGCCTAAAAGATCAATACCTGAAACCAAACATTTCAGTCTGTCTTCTACCATCTACCTGTATGTCCTCGCCAAGTACACGCAGAGCAGGTATGTTGTCGTTTTCACCACGTGGCGGCGCAGACAAGCTGTGCATTATTTGCCTGTGGAACCTTATTAATTATAGGCCCAAATAAATCCACCAGTGCAGTTTATACCGTCCAGTTATTCTTTCTTTTTCTGTAATATCGGTTATTATAGCCTATCATTAGTAATATAAATCAATATCACTCCATCCATCTATCGTCAACCACTTATCCTGCATACAGGGTCGGCTGGCTGGCTGGAGCCAATCCCAGCTGACATCGGGCGAAAGGCGGGGTACACCCAGGACAGGTCGCCAGTCCATCGCAGCAATATCACTCTAATTACTTAACTAAATTAGGCTAATTAATTTTCAATTTACTGTTTTTTTTCTATCTATCTATCTATCTATCTATCTATCTATCTATCTATCTATCATCTATCTATCTATCTATCTATCTATCTATCTATCTCGCTAGGTAGAGGTGTGTAAATTTAGAAATTAGTTATGAAAGACAAGAGCAAAGTTTGATTCATTTAGGCCTATTGATAAAATAATAATCGATTACATTTCCTCCAGCTTATAATAGCTCCTCACCAAAGTGACTAATAATGGGTAAACCGTTAATTAATGCAGCGATTGATGCATGTCATATAGTCACAACCAAACACTGAATAGAAGGCTGTCCAGCAGTTAGTAGGCGTGGTGAAGCAGAGCATAAATACTGCGGAGCCTCTGTGCGGACGCTCTCTTCTCCGCTCCTCTCTACTCAGGCTGGAGACGCACCAGTCCCACTGCGAACGGAACTAATTCACATAAAACAAGTCGAGAAACAAAAAGAAAGAAAGAAAGAAACGAAGGGGGATATTTAGAACCAGAAGAAGTGGAAGGAATACAACTTGTTGATTATCATATTTTATCCACCCAAAAAAAATAAAAAATAACTGGAAGTTTTGACATCATGAGGATTTTCAGTGCTGTGCTCGTCCTGCTGATTCAAGCCTTGGGTGAGTTTTAATGTGCGCTTTCATGGAAGAAAACATGCTTGTTTTTTATTCTCCCTCTGTGTGATGAGTTGGATTATTGCTCTGTTTGACATTTGCTTGGTGTGTCTATACCTGCGCGTGACATAGCCTCTCTCCTCGGCTATTAAACCTCTCAAGCATGGCCGAGCTATAACGTGTCTTGTAAACTTCATAACGTTTAAGGCAACGCTTTTCGTGATGCCAGGCTATCCGGGAGCTAATGGGGTCATCTCTCTATTTTAGAGCATGCTTTATGTAACTGGATACATTTATTTTTAACTCATATTCTTGCCTGACATTAACTAACTGTCTGTCCATGTATTTTGTGTGTAAAAGATGTATGCCAACTTCTATTTGCCCTCCTGCCCACACACCCACACAAGCATACATTTCCCATCCAAAGCCCACAAATCTAAACTGTCCCTCTGGGGAGGCTTCCCCTCCAGTTTCCACTCTGCTGAAGTGCTCTTGAGCAGGGCAGTGAATGCCTGCCAACTCTTTAAGAACCATGTTCTGGATGAGCTCCTGCAATTCCTATCATGGGTCAGCATGATTGCCCTGAAAGCCAAAAATCTTTGCACACAACATGTTTCAACTTGCCCTCAGAGGCCCGCCCACTTGGCACACTAACCTGTGTCCCCTAGAGGAAGAGTTTGTAAGGTGTTTCAGGAGGTCTATTCTGTTCAAGAATGTGTCGAACTGAAACTTGCATGCAATTTTAACATTTTTAAACCCTCTTTATTCCCTCCTCCAGTGGTGTCCAGAATGACCAGTGGTGCTGCGGTTGACAGGTATGAGAGCGACAGGCAGCAACACACGGCTGTTATCAACTTTTTGGACACAACCAGAGGCAAGAGGGTGGTGGAGGAGGAGAGCAGGAGGGGTGCAACAACAGTGGAGTACGGTCAGGAAGGCGAGGAGGAGGAATACAACGATGAATATTATTATGAAGACGAGTATGAAGATGGCATGTCTGGAGACTATGAAGTGGAAATGCCACAAGGTGAGAGAGTCAAGTTTTTCATTTTCGCTAATTTCTCACTGCTGAGTCAATTCAGTTTTGACTTGCTTCCATAACAAAGACAACACAATGTAATTGGTTTTGTTCTGTTTTTGGTTTAGTTGCCATGTCAAGCAAACCCAAAAACCCATCTGCCATCCTGGAGGCTGAAAGCACAGATGGAAAGCGAAGTAGAGGAAAGGGGAAAAAGAAGGGGAAAGGCAAGGGACTGAAGAGGAATCCTTGCCTGAGGAAGTATAAGGATTCTGCATCCACGGCACTTGCCACTACCTGAGGGACATCCGCTCCCATCCTGTGTGTAAGTATGAACCCTGCATCTATTTCCACACCATCTCCACCACTCTGGATCCAATGAATTACTAACCCCATCGACTGGCTCCCTCTTTGTCCTGTCTGCAGGTGCCACCCGAGTTATTCTGGGGAAAGGTGTGAGTTCTTCACGCTGCCAGTGGAGAAGCGTCCGGAGGGCTACAACCGGACCACAGCTCTGGCGGTGGTGCGGTGGTGCTGTCGTCCGTCTGCCTCGTCATCATAGGCCTTTTATTATTGCTGAGGTAAGCAAAACACTCGTAGATTCACTCCAAACACACACTAACAACCATACAGACACACACACACAGATAAAGCTTTGTAGACCCTTAGCTGATACTTGTCATAGACAGGCACAGAAAATAGTCTGAACAAGCTTCTTCTCTTTTGTTAATTGCAGGTTTCACAAGCGGGGAGCATATGAGGTAGAGAATGAAGAGAAGGTCAAACTAGGGCTAGCGTCCACCCACTGAAGAGACAAAGAGAGGTGAGTAGTGAGGAACAGCACTACAAACACATAAACAGTGACAAAAACATATTTTTTCTTCTTCTTCGTTCCCTGAAATGAAATAAGGTTTTGCTCACCACCTCTCGTTTTTTCTCCTTTTTTTCATGTTAGGCAAAGATGTGGAAATTCTACCTCAAAATAGAAAAAGAGAAGTGAAGCGCGAGAGGAGGTCCTAGAAGGAAAAAGGGTCGTACATGAAGACGGAACAGAGGTTGTTGTCTGCCTGGACGTTCAGATGTAAAAACAAAATGGGCAGCTGACATATTCCTGAAGGCTCAGAAAGATGACGGCCCCCCAGAAACTGGAATACTAACGGCCCAGAGGATGGATTGGAGATGTGGCGAGTGAAAGGTGACGAGCACGAAGGAGCGAGAAGAAGAAGGAGCATTTGTCTAGACTCTGTGCTGCTTCTTGACTATGTGACAAGAGGTCGTTCAGACTGAACTGAACAAGATTTTAACAACAAGAGCTCAACCTGGATTTTTTTTTC